TCAGCAAGATCTCTGGCTCCCAGGTGTATTTTATACAGGTAAGGAGCTGACATTGGGAGCCCTCTCAGCTCGTTACCTGTATAAAAGAGACCTGTCCACAGGCCCGTTTGAAGTTTGCTACTGAACATCTGACTGATTCAGAGGAAGACTGGGTGAAAGTGTTGTGGTCAGATGAGACCAAAATCGAGCTCTTTGGCATCAACTCAACTCGCCGTGTTTGGAGGAGGAGGAATGCTGCCTGTGACTCCAAAATCACCGTACCTACCGTCAAATATGGAGGTGGAAACATTATGCTTTGGGGGTGTTTTTCTGCCAAGGGGACAGGACAATTGCACCGCATCAAAGGGAGGATGGATGGGGCCATGTACCGTCAAATCTTGGGTGAGAACCTCCTTCCCTCAGTCAGGGCATTGAAAATGGGTCGTGGTTGGGTATTCCAGCATGACAATGATCCAAAACACACGGCCAAGGCAACAAAGGATTGGCTCAAGAAGAAGCATATTAAGGTCATGGAGTGGCCTCGTCAGTCTCCAGACCTTAATCCCATAGAAAATCTGTGGAGGGAGCTGAAGGTTCGAGTTGCCAAACATCAGCCACGAAACATTAATGACTTGGAGAGGATCTGCAAAGAGGAGTGGGTCAAAATCCCCCCTGAGATGTGTGCAAACCTTGTGGCCAACTACAAGAAACGTCTGACCTCTGTGATTGCCAACAAAGGTTTTGCCACCAAGTACTAAAGCACGTTTTGCAAAGGGATCAAATACTTATTTCACTCATGAAAATGCAAATTACTATATAAGTTTTTTTGTAATGCATTTTTCTGGATTTTTTTGTTATTGTTGTGTCTCTCACTGTTCACATAAACCTACCATTGACATTGTAGACTGATCATTTCTTTGTTAGTGGGCAAACTTACAAAACCAGCTGGGGTTCAAATAATTTTTTCCCTGACTGTATATCTAGAATTGAGTAGTTTAAAGTAATAGGTCTAAACTGCTGTTAAACTGTATTGTCAGCATCTGTACTGGTACAGGTGTAATGACCATAAAGTTGAATATAATCTAATCTAAGTTAAAGCAGTAAGTTTAAAATAGTATCTTGAAAGAATTAAATCTGTTGTCACTCGCATTTTTTGCATTTATACTTTCTTCCAGGTTCGTTGATCACAGTTAAACACACATATAGGTGCAGTGATATAGATATAATAGCATAGGAAGGAGTCATGGAGTCTGAAATGATAAACACGTCTCCAGTCATAGTGATTGGGAATGAAAATCCAATGCTGGCGGAAGAAATTTATAAATTATCTCGAAAGTGGAGCGGCTGGACATGGAGCTTGCTGTCGCCAAGGAACATCTGACGTCAGTCAGTGTCATGGGATGGAGACCTACTAAAACATGAATGACCATCTATTTGACCCTCATGAGGAGGGAGTGCAAGTAAGAGGTGATGAGGATGAGGACCCTTAGGTCAAAGGACAATGGACTCTGACATCACATTTTCATACATTCATACTACACAGAATTCATGCAAAGCAGTTATTTAGTACCTTGTCATTCATACATTCATTACTTAACCCTGTTTACATGTCATATGTATCCATGAGCAGAAGATTTTTGGTCTGAGCTTGTATTCTCATTTGTAATGGAGTTAGATTAAAGCATATTTAATAGGTAATATTTAACATTTACACAAGCAGTTTGATTATTGGTGTTTGTGTTACAGCTATGTTATATTTTGAGTTTAGTTTAAGGATTCTTACTATGTTTGCTTTTTCACTGCAGGCCTTATTGTTGATCACCCAAAAATGGGGGTTGTTCAGGAATTTTCACAAAAAAGAACAAAACAAAAAAAACAATAATTAAAAATAAATAAACATATAATGAGGTTTTTCACCTGAATGTGCAGTGAAAGTGAAATAAAATATATGTACTAATGTGAGGAGAACTGTAATGACATTCATGGAAACTGTTTTAGAGTACAGACACTTGTGAATACTGAAAACTGTGTTAGCTGGCAAGGTGGAAGGAATCACCATTTCTTGTTTTAGAAATGTAGGGGCAGAGGTGTGTATGGCTGAAGAGCAGAGTGTGTGTATTGCAATTTATTGTTATTGTTGTTAAATTTCATGTGTTTACAGGATGCATAATGTGTTGCTGAAGTGAGTATGTAAAATGATTTTTCTGTGTTCCAGTTCTCCCCCGTTCTCGCACATTTGGGTGTATGCGTCTCACTCTTTGGATGTGTGTTAAGTGTGTATGTAAGTATTTTAGGTGTGTGTGTGTGTGACAGTGGAAACGAGGGTGTTGGTAAGTTTTTATAGTTACTATAGATATCATAGTTTGATGTTTGTGTGGTTTCTAATCTTTTACTTTTGTGTTTATTAGTTTATAGTCTTGTGTTTTTGTGGTTGTCAGTCTGTGGAGCGCATATGGTTGTGTGGGTGCTGGCTTGTTTGTATAAATAAATATTGAATATTAGCTATTGTAATAGTAGTTATAACCTACTATGGTAGGGTTGTTCTGTTGCTGGTCGGTTCATGAGGAAGAGTAGCTCGCTGCTTTGTCATGCCTAGTGCTAGATCTGCTGCCCATTGTTTTTCAAGGGGGTAAAAGTGAGATAACTCACTTTAGTTTGAGAGGACCGTCACTAGCGCTGGTCAGAGGCAGACTGTCTGAATTGAGCTTCTGGAGAGTTGGGCTCCGCCTCTCCCCCTCCCCTCAGCAGTTCTGTGTCTGTCACATGCACAGAGACCACGACCACCACATGACAACCGTATTTCATACAAAGACTAATGTGCATAAATTCTTATTCAAACAGCTGAGCTCATACAAAACATCAGCATACCTTAGAAGCATCAAGCAGGAGAATTAACGACAAACCAGGATAGAACACGGATAATGTGACATCAAGTTGAGATTACTCAAGTACAACTACAGTTACATGCATATCAACTGAGTAACCATCATGCTCAGATCACATTCCATTTTAAAATGACATCTTGGTTTAAGATGAGAGAAAGTTAATGTTAGGGTCAAGATTAGGGTTAGGCAGTGATTAAGGTTAGGGAAACCCTCAAGCTCCCAGGCCTCTGGTACAGGACCCGAGCTTGAAGGAAGATATAAGACCGCTCCAGAGTGGGGATTTTTTTTTTATATCAATAGTTGAAACAGGTTCAGCTGGTTTTTCATTGGCTGTTCTAAAAAAGAGTGCAGTCTTTCAGCCTTGCAGAGTAGCACCTTCTGCTTGAGGGCTACAAGGAATTTAAAGGTTGAATTCATACATAAGGCAACTCTGAAAATGCAGAGAGATGGATGGAAAAACATGGTTGACCAATTAAATGCATACATACAGTATAGCTGATTGCTGAGGATCTCTAATGTTGTGTTGTATGTGCAGTATATAATGTTTTTGCCAAAGAATATTAGGAAATATCAAGAAATGAGGCAAAGCTATTGAGAAAAATGGCAATTCATTTTCTTTGTTGTTAAAGCACATAGAAAGAGACAGACTGAAAACTCAGACAAACTGCACTCCATTTCTGTTGTCTCTCTCGAGTCAGCAGGGAAGCAGTGGAATGAGATTCCTGGCTGCGCTTGCCTGCTGCAACAGTCAGCAGCTATACAATACAGTGTAAATTCATCAATGAAAACTATGATAAAAAACATTCACTGATGACGTATTGTTCAAGAGGAAAACAAAACTAAAACTAAAGTAATGCTTGCTAACAAGAACTATAAAATATTTTACATTTTGTCAGTGAATAAAAAGCAAATGATAATGTGAAATACAGAGGAATGGACATGAAGTAACCGTGTGACATACACAACATATATCACATTGTTTCTTTGTTTTCATGCTTTATAATAAGTTAGAGTACCTAGTTCAGCAGCCATTTTCACCTCCGTAGTTGACATGCAGTAGCAGTAGTACTGCCAGCAGGTGGCAGTGTGAGCCTGTATGTGCTGCGAGGACTATGGACTACTGGGGAACTGCCTCTGCATCTCATTCCAATGAGAGCAGCCGCACTGAACATCAGCACATTTACTTTGTCTCAGTTATTCATCCTTTTCCAGAGGACTCACTAACTGCGACACTGTCCCATACCTGGGAGGTGTTACAGTAATGACCTGCTGCATCTGTGGATTCACAAACGGCAAGTGCTGATCAGTAAAACTGTTTCCTCCGCCAGCTAAAATCTCTCTTGTTCAGGAGTTGAATTTGCCATATTTTGTGTTTCACTGCCTTCTTACACTCATTGATGGTCTGTCTGGCATTAGCACTTCTTGGAAGAAACAGGTTTATGAACCAGATTCATCTACAGTCCAGAGAATTATGCACCAACTGAGAGACAGTAAGAAAATGCAGCAACACGCTATATTAAACAATAGGATAATTTAATATGAAACACTGTGTAAATGTAAATATAGCATTAACTTTCATTTCAGTCAGATATCCTTTGTGTTGACATCACAAAAAAAATGAGTCAGTTCCAAGATTAATGGGGCAGTCGACCATAAATTGTTTGTTATGGTTAGTCCCCCTCACCAGGAGGGTGAGTGAGAACTGTGGTAGGACTCAAGACTGCTGACCCAGGTGCTAGTAAAAAAAAAGGAGGTTTAATGGAACAAAATACAAAGTAACAACATAACAAGGGCCATGTACATATATAAACAAAGTAGGGTAGAGATGGTGGAGGAGACCAGGATGAACAGGTAAACAGATAAACTGACGGCAGGAATCAGGAGAGTAGGAGGAGGAGGACGGACAGGTGAAAAGACAGGCTAACCAAGGGGACAGGCGAACAAAACGGATTTTCACAGCACAGGAACCGTCAGCTGGGATAAAACAAGTAACGTCTGGCTAACCTGATGGACAAAAAACAAAGAGGTCCACAGCACAGGAACTGTCAGCGTGGACCGTATAACACAAACATATAACCTACATATAACATGAGATCCACAGCACAGGAACTGTCAGCGTGGAAAACAAAATATGTCTGATACATACCAAGAATAAACGGCTGTTACGGGTTATGTAGGTAAGGTAATGCACGTTAAGTCAAATAAGGTAAGTAATGTTAGCTAAGGTAAAGCTCAGGCAACGACGAAGCGTTTGCCAGAGGTATAAATAAGGAGCACAGGTAATCATCGGGATGCACCCCAGCTGTGCGCACCAACAAACGAGTCACTAATTACTAGAATGCAACACAGCTGAGGTGCAGAGCCCACAGGATTGAGAGAGCAGAGGAGAGAAAGGTGAAAGAGAGGCAGGTCGCGCCGAGCGGACCTGACATTGTTCTTTAAATGTTCACTGCAGGGATCTCACTGTTTTAATAGCATAGTCAGCAATTCTAGCAAAATAATGCTTACATTTTGATCACATGTACACAAATCAGCAAGTTGTTTCAGTTAGGATCTCCTAACCATGTCACTTACAATGCATTACCAACGCACATTACCACAGCAATGACACTAGCGATTGGAGGAAGAGCCCGTGCCAAAGGAGATGTCACAAAACTATCGAGTGGGGCACAACTAAGTGGATTTAGGAAATGGCAATGTGACACGGGTATTTGTTAACATAACATTACCACAAAGATTAGCTTTCCTAATTGAACAACATTGTACATATTGTGCTGGGTTCTTTGTAGACAATCACGACTACCTTGAATCACGCTTTTTTCCATTTACTGAACAACTGGCAGTTTAGAGCATACATTAACACTTATACAACTTGTGGCCAGCGCATTCTCCCTTGTTGACACCACCCCAAACTGTCCCTTCACTTCCTGATGTTACATTACACCACACCCCCCTTACTTTAAGTTGGAGTGTTCCTTACCCTACATACACCACATTTATGCTTTAGCTTACACCGTTTTTTAAAATTACTTCGTCTTACATGAAAGCATATTTCCATAGCACTTCAACTCTAGTTTGAGCATACTCCATACAGTAATTTTTCAGTGTAACTCAGACTTAGACTTTACCTTTAGGCCTGTACTTGTAACAACACATAAAAATTCAGACTTGTTATATTCTCCCCTAGTTTCACAGGTCAAGTCTCTGGGGTCTTCTCACTTCTCAGCTGGACCTTGTCTTTATGGCGGCAGACATGTTTTGTGGGTTAGTATTCACCTCTAGTAGGCGTTCCTGTTGAGGCTCGCTCTGAGTCACTGACAAAGGTATAGGTACAAGATGACAGTTTCTCCTGAGTGTCCTTTGTGGTCCACTGACAAAGTAAGACCGTGGATTAGGGTGGATGGATGTCACTGTGCCTTGTGCCTTTGCATCAGAAATCCAAACGGAATGTCCTGGAGAAGGTTTATTCAAGTCTCTAGCTCTCTGCCTCTTATTGAACCTTTGTGTGTCTTTCCATGTCCTCTCCCCATCTGCAAGGCTGAGTTTAGGCAGGTCAGGAAGGGCTAGCTGCAGCGCATCTGGTAAAACTGGCAGTGTCATGTGAAGGCGATGCCCAATGAGTAACAGGGTGGGGCTGTAGCCATTACAGAAGACTCAGGCTCAGTGTCACCCCAAATCCCCGCTAATGTTTGAAACATGTCCAAAATGCCTCTGTTGACGCGCCGTCCCCACAAATCCAGTTTGGCTTTAAATGCAGCTACTTTATCTGCCAACTTGAAGACAGTTGTCATTTTCCCCTGAAGTGACAGATTGAGTTCATTGAGCAGGCTGAATATGTCCACAAGTAAGCCAGTTTTGGCGCTCAAGTGACCGAGATGTAACCGAGAGAATGCGGTCATTTTTCAAAATAAAAGATCGTTCAGACTCAGATAATAAATAAAACGGAAATAATTAATGATTTCTTGTGCGGCCCGGTACCAATTGATCCACGGACCGGTACCGGGGACCACTGCTGTAGGCTAATAGAGCCCGGTAGGGATTGTCAGCTTTTTTGAGCAGGTTTAATAGTCTGAACAGCTCTTTCTGCGTCACTGTTACTCTGCTTGTCACATGATCGAACTCGTAATCATCAGCAAACTTTTTCATGTCATGACCAGAAAACTGTGGGCCATTGTCTGTAAAAAGAGTCTTTGACTACATTCACACTGCAGGTCTTAATGCTCATATCGGATTTTTTGCCAAAATCCGATTTTTTTGCACTGCTGTTCACACTGTCATTTAAATGCGACTGCCATCTGTCTCATGTGTGAACGATATACGGTCCTGAGGTGACCCGCATGCGCAGAAGAGGACATGACGTCAGATGCAGCGTACTGTGTTTATCAAGAAGAAGGAGAGCACAAATATTGCTTATGGCCTCACCTCCTCCAGCGCAGAATTGTGACGTCTGTCGCATTTCAATGACATAAAAATCGCATGAAATGCGACATGGCCATTCAGACTGAAGTCGTATTGCAAAACATCGGATATGTATCTGATTTAGGACCACATATGAAAGTGGCCTGGGCCTGATTTGAAAAAATTGGATTTGTGCTGTTCACACTGTCATAAGGAAATCGGATATGGGTCACATTTGGGCAAAAAGATCGGATTTGGGCCACTTCAGCCTGCAGTGTGAATGTAGTCTTTGAGATACCATGACGTGTGAACATTGACTTCAAGTGGACAATGACATCTGCAGACCAGGTTGGGCTGAGTCATGCTATCTCTATGAACTTAGAAACGTAGTCAACCAGGTTCTGTTTCCAGTTCAAAATGTAATCCCAGAATGAAGTCACTGGACCTTTCACAGGCTGAGGTAAGTGCCAGCGCCTCTTTTTCCAGCAGGGCATAGCGCTGCTTCATCTCTGTCAGTGGTCTGAAAGCATAAGCAACTGGTGCCCACACCTCTCCTTCTTTTTGTAGCATCACTGCCCCTAGCCCATACAATAAGGTATCTACAGAAATTTCCTGTGGCTTGTTTGGGTCATATAACTGCAGTACTGGGGCAGAAGACAGCTCACACTTTAGGCTGCAAAATGCCCCCTGTTGTTTGTGTCCCCAGTGTCATAAGTTTTTCTTGGAAAGCAAGTCTCTTAGCGGTTTGTCCTTTTCTGACAGATTGGGTATGAACTTCCCCAGTTGGTTCACCATCCCAAGGAAGCTCCTGAGCTTGCTCAACATTCTTTAGCTCTTTCATGTCATGAACAGCTCTGGTTTTATCTGGATCTGGCCTCATGCCCTCAGCTGAGACAATGGAGTCAAGGAATTTAATCTCTCTTTTTCTGAACTTGCACTTTGACATGTTTAGCATAACTCCAGCCTTTTCAGCACGATCCAATAGTGTGTACTCTTGTGTCATGCTGCTCCTTTGTGTTCCCCCAGATGAGGATATCCACATGACAGACAACACCTGGAGATACCAAAGGGCAACTGGTTAAAGTGGTACCATCCAAAAGGCGTGATGAAAGTGGTGAGTAGGGTTGACTCCTTAGACAGTGGTATTTGCCAAAAGCCCATATTTGAATCTAACTTGAAGAAATATTATGCACCTGTGAGCATGCCTAGGGTTTGGTCCACTGAGGGGAGGCTGTATCTTTCACAACATACAGACTCATTTAAGGGTGTCATGTCCACACAGATGCAGACTTTGCCTTTGTCCTTTTTAGGAGTGTTAGGTATTTTTAGTCAGATAGATATTGGATAGATACTTTATGTATTAGAAATGTTTAGTAGAGATAGGATGTCTAGTTAGACTGTTAAATGCTTAGGCATGCTTATGAGTTTCTACAGGGTACATCTGGTCAAGGATACTAGAGAGAAGAGTTGATGACTGTCAGCAGACAGGGTGTTTAATATTATTATTACGACGTGTATAACTGTAGCCTTAGCCATAATATGTTCTTATGTTCAAGTCACGACATGTACTAGAGGTCGTGAGAATGTTTTTAGCTACACACCACTTAACCAACAGACACACACATTCACACATTGATTTGCTTCATGTTTTGACTACTGTTATGACCAGCTGCAGAGCTGGCAACAGAGACGTCTCGGCTGACATTTCTGTGTAGTATGGGGCTAGCCCAACCGAGGTGATATAATGTATAGGCCTGGTGGGCTCAGGGTCTTTCATCTTACATCTGCCTGCGTGCAGTATGGAGGTGCAAGATACTTGAGCGTGTAATGTTAGTTTTACCTGATCCTTTGAATAAATCAGCACTGTTTTGAAGTTACTTGGACTGTCTCGTCTCTCAGAGTTAGCAGTGGTAAGAAGAACCAAAATAGTTCAACAACAGGAGCTACTACCATGCTGCAGCACCAGTCCATTGGTTCCTCCACAGGACTGATGACACCTAACTTCTTAATCCTTTCTAACTCTTCTTTTACCTTACCCATGAGAGGCAATGGGACCCACTGTGGCACCTTAAGGGAAAAAGGTTTGGCAGCAGGTATGAGTTTAATGGTGTATGGTTTTTGAACCAGTCCCAGTTCGTCACAGAGTTTGGGGTATGCTTGTCTAATAGTCTCTTGGTCTATTGAGTCCACCCTGGCAATTAGCTTGAGCCTTACTGAACCTGGTCTACTCACGAGTGCCCCACTGAGATTTTTAACTGCGTAAATCTTTTCTGTGGTGCTCCTGTCTCCATATGAGAGGATGTCCTAAAAACTACAATTGCATTTCATTTTAATATGTAATAAATAATTTTGATCCATGCATCTCTAAGAATAAGATAGGTGCATGTGATGTGTTGGCCCAGAACTGAACCACTCTTCTCAAGAACCATGCTGAGCTTGATCTGAGAGCAGGGGTATTTGTTAGGAGTGGGATAGTGAACCATGTACACACTGGCCATACCATAATCATTCAGGCAATGTTTGACTGTCCTAAATGCTTGCTCTTAGTACCTTGCTATAAGGAGAAGCCATTCTTATTGTAACAAGTTATTTTCCCCATTTTTATGAGATAAGTTCATGTTAAGACAGGATTTTTCTTATGACATACTGAATTTTCTCTCAACATAGCTTACTGTATATTCTCATAATAACATGAGCCCTGTAAAACCTAGAGTGAGTGCAGCGCACACACTCACTTTGAGCAGTACGCTCATTCAGTTCAGCAGCCGCTCCTGCCAGTCCTTGAGAATCACTGATTAGACACTTTAATCCACCCACAATAATTAGCCCACAAAATAACCCATGAATACAGCTCATAAGCAAACACCCTGCACATGTCCCAATTATGTTTCAGGTATT